AGTGCAGCTCTACTGCCGGATGTGCCGCCAGGCGGGCTGCGGGCAGTGCGTGTCTGAGGAGCACCAAGGCATCTTCCACTCCGTCAACCTCATAGACACTGTATACCAGGAGGAAAAAGTAAGCGCGGCGCTTCCTCTCAGTGCCGGGGTTTCGGCTGGAAGGGCGAGCTGTCCCGGGGGGTCCCACCCGTCCTAGGTTGATTTTGTTGAGAAATGCAGAGGAGAACGCAATGTCGTGGGTAGGCGAAGGGCAGCGAGGGAGTGCACCGCTTTGCACCTGTCGGCGCTCCTGTGTTGACCACCGGAGTGTACCTTCCCGTACTGCCGTTAGGGTTCGCATACAGGAGGCCAGGCAACGTTACAGTACCATCCGATCTGAACAGAACTTAGCAAAGCACCTTGAGAGTTAACTTTTTTTTTGTATATAAAGACTTGTACTTTTGCTGTAGTAGCACACAGATGCATTTAACTCCGTGGTCTGGTCTGGTTTTTCCAAGTCCAGGAAGATATTTTATTATCCCAAAACACACAGATATTTTGTTTATAGCTTCTCTGAGTCGATTTAGGTAATTCGAATGATAATTACCTATTTCTACATAGATCATTTAGATAATTAACAGTTTAATAAATGTATAACAAAAATATCTTTCAGCAGCTGGCAGGCCTTATAGGGTTTTTAGGTTTGGGTTTTCTTGTAGTGGTGGTAGAAGAGATTTTTGTCAAAACAGCTAACGTTCTGGTAAAGTAAGCTTTTTTACGCTCTGCTTAAACAAGGTTCTGGATAGCATGTCACAAAACGGTTCTAATAAACAGTATTGAAACAATGCTAGACAGGATAGGTATAGTGGCTAATTGCAGCTAAGAAAGTAAGCCAGTGATGTTAAGAATTAATTTGGAGACACTGCTTTAATATTCTGCCCTAAATGTAATTCTTTACTAATCAGGGCCAGAACTGGGGAAGAAGAACGTAGTTTATGCTCTTAGTAGAGGAAAAAGGTTAATGCTTGTTTTTTCAGGCTTTGTTTCATATATTGGTAATGAACTAATTACCTACATATGCACAAGCAAAATGCTGAAGGCAACGTAGGATTTATCACATACTACTAACTAAAGGTGAAAGGGTGGTAGTGGGTAGACTTTCCATTAGCTGTAGGTGGTGGCTGACCTCGTGTGTTTGTAACATTTCTAACAGTTTTATAAGGCAGATGTTTTCATGGAGTCATCGTCTTTCACAATGGATGATTTGGACACTAAAAGTTGAAGTACGACATTGGCTATTTTTAAAGCCAAAAGTTATTCTTGCCCTGATTTCTCTCTGTCCCTACTCCTCCCTCACCAGTTGCCTGTCACTGAAACAACCAGGGGATAGATAACGTTTTTTGTAGTAGGCTACATTTAAAAAACAAAGAAAATAACTTGGCAGTGGACAGCTTTCTGTTTTATCAGTGTGAGCCATAATACTTTGAAAAAAGAGACTATCACAGGTTTGCCGGTCCAGCTGGAATAATATCGCAGTGTTATGTTTTGATAGATGTGTCTGAGGGAAGAGAATAAAAAAAAAAAAAGGAGGGAAAACAGACTTTTGTTGTACCTGTACTGTAATTGTAGCACGATGTTGTTTTGTAGGTGAGCCTAAAAACATTAATTAAAAGAGAGAAATAGCAAATGCAAGTTTGCTTACTGTTCCAAGAAAGCATGAAGTCATGCTTTTTTTTCACTGCTTTTGTTTATATGTTGTACAGAGCATCCCAAGATAATTCCTAGATAACCACAGAAATGTATTTATTTTTATGGAGTGGATAAAGCTGTAACAAGCTTTTCAATTGCTGTCTTTACAGTTAACCTTCTTCAGTAGTCTGAAAAAATTGAGAATAATAAATGAGAAGCTGATGAATGAAATCTCAAGTCATCCAAATGATACTGACGTGAGTTACAGATGCTGGTTGTTTGTTTGTTTTAAATACGTAGCTTGAGAGCAACAACTTGGTTCTTTACTCATTGTAGGTTAATCACAACATGGAGCATGCGGGTACCCTGTGGTTTAGACATGTTCTGAGTTTAGTTAGGGATATGATTCTGAAGTAGACTTTGCTACCGCAACTTTATCTGCATTTATGTGCCTTTGCTTCTAGATAATGCTGACCAATGAGGCAGAGGTAATTGCACTGGAATTTGGAGAAATATTCAAAACTCTGGAAATGAAGAAAAAACAATTGCTAGAAGATATTGAAAACCAAAGAAGTAAAAAAGAGAAAGAATTTCAGATTTGGAAGAAAATGAAGGAAACTCACAAGAAAACCATTGAGAATTTTCTGAAGGATTGTGAAAAGCTTGTTCAGGAATGTGATCCTCAGTGTTTCCTGGAGGTGATAGCTGTTCTATTGCTACCTGACATCATTTGTATAATCCTCAAAATGTCACGCAGAGCCTGGCACATTATAGACTATGATTACAGTAATGACTAGATCAGGACAAACTTATATTTTAGTGCAAATTTTTAGGTCGTTAAATTATTTGACACTTCATACGTTTTTATAACATGCTTTTTATTCTAGCAAAGTTTAAAAAGCATTCCTTGCACTTAATCAGTGATGTTAAATGGAATTTAGTAAATGCTTTTTACTTTCTTTACACTTAAAGTGATGAAATTGATTGTATAGCTATTGCCGTAACGTTTGCTATATTACGCTACCAGCTCTGAAAGTAAGCTGGCTTGGTGCTGGGTAAAGGGGTTATTTCCTAATGCTGCCTAGTACATTCCTAGTACATTGTCTTGCATTTGTATGCTTGTTCATGTTTATTTTCAAATATTCTGTGTTTTGAGCACTTTAATTGCATCATTAAATTTGTGAGATACTAAAACTTTTGAGAGGGAAGACTGGAGCCAGAATAGATAACTTTCTGTACTGCATAGTGGAGTACCATACCAGGATAACTGAGTTAAGTTGAATTACACTGATTCAAAAACTGGTATTCAATTAAGTTGAATTACACTGATTCAAAAACACACTGTAATCTTTGCATTGAGGTGTGCAGTGGAGATATATTAGCTTATTCAAACCTAGCTTAAGTACCTCTGACAACCACTATATCATGTAGTGTATATGCCTCTGTATAATACCCTGAAAGCTCCTCTCATAGCCTTCAAGGGAACTGGAGATATAAACATCATTTAACTAATTTTGAGATAAATACTAGAGGAATTAAAGACAGGAGCTCAGTCATCACTGTTACTGCAGCTAGGACAGACCTTTCATCTGACTCTAAACCAGCTAGATTTGTGTCCAGCACTGTAGCTGCTGTTATATGGAACTTGGTGTAGACTTCAGACAGGGGGCTAAGAATTTAAATAATAGAATTCTGTGCTTCCTTTAACTTTAGTGCTCATGTATACATACCTCTGCTAAGAAATTGTAGCACATCACTATTTTCTGCTGTTGTGTTTTACTGTCCTCAGATTAAATGAAAAGTTAAAAGTACTTAGAACTTGACCAAGTTTCTGGTAACTCAGCTTGTCTTAGGGAAAACATCACTTTCAGGTGAAAGCGACTCCCGCTTATAGAAGAAATGTTCTGACTCCAGTGATTTGGTATGCCTCAAGCTTACCAACTTTTTCCACATTATCAGTACGCAACTGATTTCAGTGAGGTGTATTATTTAAGAGTCATTGTAGTGAGATCATCAGGATCTTATAAGGAAGGAGCTGGTCTGTCATCTACTTAGGTTTGTTTTTGTTTTGTTTTATGTTCTTGGTGCCTGTTCTCTAGTAAGCTGGCACTTGAAGGACTATAGCAAAATGCATTTCATACTGCTGTAATTTGGCTGATTTAAAACTAAAAGATGACTTTTTTAAATCTCAGTATAATTGTGTGTGTGCATATATACATACACATAAATCTCAGTATAATAATATCTTGAGAGCATTAGCAGACGTTTCCCTCACCAACGAATACAAAATAGTCCTGCGTTTGAGTATCTACAAATATCTAAATATTTAAAACGCGTAAGACAACTGTATAGTTCATGACTCGTACTCTGAATGCTTTCCTCTGGCTCTCAAGAAATCTATTTCTGTCTTCAACACAAAATAGTATGGGATAGGTCATTCTCTCCCAGACTTGCCTTTTCTTCTATGTGGCTGTTTTATTATTATTTTAACATTGTGTGTGTGCATATATACATACACATATATGCATGTGCATGTATCTACATATGTGTGTGTACATAAACATTTTAACATATATATGTGGGTATACATGTATTTATCTCCTATAGTTTTGTGAAATCAAGGCAGGGAGTTTAACCTTGGAAGTAGTTTAATAAAGCAGTAGTTTCCTTTTGCAAGTTGATGGAAAACCCATTCATATCTTATGAATTCTTGTTTTATTTATAGGTGGCCTGTGGCTTGAATACAAGGTATATATATATTTTTTTTTTCTGTACTTTATTGCTTTTTTTGGTATGTTTTTAAGATTAAAAGAATAGTTATTTTACATGTGGTTACAGATATCCACTGAAAGAAAATAATGTTTAGTAACTAAGTCATTGTTAATGCTTTTGGATTTTTGGATGCTGCATACTCCAAATTTTAGGAAGTGTGTGTCAATAACTTGTGATGTTTTATCTGGGATCAGATAATCAGCCTATTGTATATCAAACTTTGAATCAGCTCCCTGACAAAAACTGAGTCTGAGAATTCATAAATATAGGATTATCAGACACTTTTAGATACCTTATGTGAACTGGAACGAGGAGCACTGGAGCATGTACTTTTTGTTCAGTGAAAATATGGAGAGTTAACAGCAGAAGCTTTTGCAGCATGGCTCTTTAAATGTGAGAGCATATATGAAGATTCTGCAGTATCCTCAGTCATAACTGTTTGCAGAGCACCTACCTTGAATGTCAGATATATTTCCTTCTAAAGATTCTTAATCTAAAGATTAAGAAATCTTTAGATTTCTTATCACTTACATGACTAATTTTTTAAAGGCCAGTGAAGCACGATTTTTAAGAATATTGAAAATGGAGTTCTTTGAAATATTTTGTGGTTCAGACTAACATCAGCAGTGTCCTCTGAAAGAGTATAATTTTGATTCTGATACAGCCCATTAATGACAGTATTTTAATCTTTTGCCTGAATTACAGATGCTTCTTTTTGCAGTTTTCATTTTCCATGAAACCTAATTCAAATGAATCTTCAAGTAATAAAGTTTTAAAAAAGAAATTTAGGAAACCCTCAATGTTTTTATTGAAGGTTTACTACTTCAGATTTTTTTCCCCTTTTACTGACTTTTTTCAATACTTTTTGTGTTAAGCAATGTAATTTTGTTGGTGGTATCTGAGCCTTAATAGAAAGGGGTGTTTTAAGTGTCTGTGGTGGTGGTGTTTTTTCCTTTTCCAGAATGAAAACTCAGCTTGACCTGATGAATATAGCATCCAGCTATGAGAAACCACCAGAGTATACCCAAAAGAAAATGGATATCAAACCTGTGGTTAATGAAATCTTGGCCTTGAAGTTAATACCAGTTAATGTAGGCGTAGTTAAAGGTAGGCAAGGAGGATTTAATATGTGACAGATTCAGGAAAGCACTTTAAGAACCCGCAGTTTGTAGAATTTGTTGCTAATAAACATTCTGAATGGCAGAAGTATGCATGAGTTCAGAAAGCATCTGAACAAATTAAGAGAAGATAAGTTCATCAAAGCTTTTAAACAAATTTTGTGAGCGTGTTCTCTCCAGAAAGTCCCTGTGCTGTGTTTTTGGAAGCTGGGGGAAGTTTCAATATAATTTTCCTATAAAACCTGTATGACCATTGTCAGAAATGTAACACTGAGCCAGATGGATGTTAGTTGTAGTGTCATACCAAAGTTGTATATGCTCTAATTAAATAAATGCTTTAACCTGTGGGAGAAAAAGGTGGGTGCTGCAGGCAGGCCTCTTGGGGGTTAGAAAAGCTCTTAAGCAAGCATCTTGCTTTGCATCGCAGGAGTTTAGGTAAGTGCCACGGTCTTAGTTGCTTAGGGCAATGCAAGTTTGTTCTAAATTGGAACCTATATTTAGATGCACAGGAACCATTAAGGATGCAAATACAGGAATAAAATTATTTTAGTCACATGTGGCTCTTCAAACACTGCAGCAAAGGTTTTCTGTCTTTTGCGGTGGGGGGGGGAGGGTATAGCTTTTTAATGTATGTCCAGTATTAAGTATAGAATATGGGGCTCATAATGCCTATAATGCCTTTCTGGACCTGCACTTTATATTTCATTATCTGGTATCCAGTATATTTTGAAGATACCTGCTGAGTTTTTTTTAGTCAGTGTAAACTTCATATTAAAATAGTGCTTGGTTGATTTATAAAAACAGAATATTTTTGTTGCAATTTTTTTGTCTAAAAACGTTTGTGTTATTTTTCGTACTTGGATGCTCTCCAGTCAGTATTCCTTTTCCTTCTAACAGATGTACCTTCTCGAGGAAGTGAGAACTCAATTAACAATATGTTACTTAAAAATAACGTAAAACAATGGAAGGACCAGAAAAATACACACGGCACATTTCATGTAAGTTATTCACTATGAAGTTACAGCACTGTATAGTATTTTGTTTTGTCTTTTATATCAAAATGGGCTCTAATGTCTGATGCAACACACTTCTCAGCCAGTAGCAGGACAAGAGGAAGTACTGACGGATGGTGGTCAGATATGTACTCGCTTAATGTCAATATCAGAAATGTCAGCGTTTCAAAATATGAGTCATGAGGTATGACTGAACATCTGTTGTAAGTATGGCTAAGTTATTGTTACAATACAACTTTTTAAATGTTTTAATACTTTTGTTTCTCCACTTTTGTGTGGAGACAGGTACCCGTCCAGTTCTAAAATGCAAATATCATTAGCTGCCAGGATTAATTTTTTTCTTCAGAAAGTTAGAATTTGATGGTACCTAGTGACTTAAAATAGATATATCTTAATGTGGCTTTTTCAGACACATCTGTAGTTTTCTAATCCAAATAGGATTCTGTCTTCCTTATTTGAAGAGAAAGTAATTTGCATGTGTTCTGGTTTGTGGTTTGTTTTTTTTGATTTTTTTTTTTTTGGTGGTGGTGGTTGTGTGTGGTTTTTTTTTTTTTTTAATATAATAGAATTCACTCTTCTAAGTCTGCCTAAATTCCTGAAACTTTGACATGAAGCTGAAACCAGTCTCTCTTTAGTTGTATCTCCAGTGATCTAGTTAGGAAACTTCCCCCCCCCCCCCAACCACACTTAACAGTCCCATGTGGGTGGCTCAGTATGGAGTATTGTTCTGTGCAAGGATGAATCTTGTTGCAGTTAGTGGAGTGTGGCTGGCAGTGAATTGCTTAATGTGGGTACTGGGAATAGCAACGGCAGGTGAACCCACTATGAAGTTCCTTAGGCACTCTAAATATGCAATTATTATTCATTATTTTGTAGAAGACACTTGACTCTTAGTCCCACTGAGAATATGATTTAATACTTGATTGCATCTAATCAAATACTGTGTTTTCAGATGGTTATTATTCATGACAGAGCTTGAGAATTTGTCACTTGATATGACTCTAAGTTAGTATTTCTAAACATTCCTGGCACTGGCAGTCATTTTATGTACTTTTTTTTTTTCCTCTGGTTTGCTATTTCAATATCTATTTTGTCATTAGGGTCCCATGCGTATCTTGTTGAATTGTTTCTAAAGATCTTTTTTCTTAAATGTGGGTTTTTTGTTGATTTCTAGCAGCAACAGAACAAAAGTTGTCATAAATGCTATAGAACATGCAAACAACTTTTTTGATCTTGGCATCGTACATAACTATTTTACAGTTTCTGAATCCACAAATGCTCCATTTCACTTAACAGGATTCTCTCCTGTAATTGTAGGAGCTTCGTTACAAATATTACATGGAACATCGGAAGCTATCTGATGAGTTCAAGACACAAACTCTACCTGCAAGTAAAAAGTATAAATGTGTAACCACTGAGACTTTGAAGGATAAGTCTTCAGGAGTTCCTTTTGTATCTTCACCTACCAAAGCAAATAATGCAGACAGAGGAAAAAAGGGAAGCTTGCAAAGAGCAGATGGCTTTGAGATAAGCTTTTTCAGTACTAGCAATCACATCTTTCCGACCCCCGACTTGAATTCTTCTGAAACAAATGGTAACTTTAAATTTTTTCATGAAAAAAGGTCCCAGGAAACAAGCACACTGGCCTTATCAGAGAACTTTAACAGCTTAGTCATTAAAGAGGAAATACCGCAGTTGTCAGCAGTTACAATTTCTAATGAAATGGATGCAAATTCCAGCACTTCATCTGGCTTAAAACCATCAGCATCAGTACCTGTTCCTGCTTCAGGTTCAGCATTTTCAGATGTTTCTGCAGAGAGACTTTCTGCTTCACCTTTTGCTTTCAGTACATGTAGCAACTCATTACCAAGACTTATTAAAGATGCAGCTACAGTTTCCTTTACAAAGAAAGACAGTAAATCTACTTTCC